TAGATGGCGCGCGCCGCCGCCTCACTCGCGGCGGATTTTGTTCAATGGTCCACCCGTTTATGTTTTGCCCTTAAAGTGACCGCGCCAAGCGCGTTGCACGGCGGAATGCTTCGTGTTCACTTGGTAGTGCATCATACGCTGCACCCGCGCGGTGGCGCGGCCTTGGGGGCAGCATTTTCTCGGCGCTGCGTGCGCCCCAATTGAATGTGACATCATGTCACATTCAATTGGGGTTGTTGTTTTCGTGCTGTCTGTCTTTAGCAGGGGCGGATCCAGACCTCCATTTTGGGGGGGGCGGATCCTCGGCGTAAAACGGGGGGGGGGGGGGGGGGGGGGGGGAGTGTTTATATTTTTTGTGGAGTCATCGTTTTTACTAAACTCTGATAACATAATATAGATCTTGAGAGCTTTTGTATCGGTTTACCTGTCGGGGATGAACTCTTTGAACTTTCTGTGGCTATGCACACCAAGGCACACGCTCCCGTACTTTTGACTGCATAGCCTCAGAAAGCTGGGCATCTGGCCAACGGAATGTCTCTGCTCGTGCGGAAAATCACGTGCAATTGCAAGCCTACCAAAGCTATATTCACGTGCACGCCATACGTGCCTGCTCGTATGGGGCACCAGTCAGGACGCTACACTGTAGCGTCCTGACTGTAAATTTGACCGTAAAATTTACGGTCGAATACCAGGCAGCTGATGCTGCCGGGTCCATATCACAAGAGCGAATGACATTTTAGCGAACGGCGACATTTGAGCGAATGGTCGTTTTAGCGAATAACGGGGGCGCGCGTTAACCCATCCGTCGCGCTGCGCTTTACGCCGCTTCGCGGCGACAGTCTTCGGCAACTCATTACAAAAATGTGAACCCATTTGGCCCACCCGAAAACGCCGCTTCGCGGCGTCCGACTATTCGCTAAAGTGTCGTTCGATGAAACGTGGGCGTTCGCCAAAACGTCATTCGATCAAGTGAGAGCCTCCCGAAATCTACAGTCGGCCTTCAAATTTGCGGTAAAAAAAAAAAATTTACAGCGCGCCGTTATTTTTACGGTGCAATTTAAACGGCGAGAAAGGTGGTAGTATTCAGGTTCATAACATCATTGTATAGTGATGTTATGAACTCAATGATGTTATGAACCTCGACTGAACCAAGCACGTTTTGAAGGCTTTCAGCAAGTTGGCCGAACATGTATTGTTTGTACAAGAAATGCCGACGTTGAAATTCATAAATGGTTTTTTGAACTGTTGATACCGGCATAAGAAGCGTTCCGTTGAACTTCAGGTACAAAAAAAACAAAACAAGGTCGTATTTTACGGCCTTCCTTTTTTCTCCTGCAGACAGAGACATTAACACGTCGTAGTTATCATTAGGGGATTGCATCACGTTAACAGCACCTCTTCATTAGAATCCGCACTAGTCGACCGAGTCGAAGAGTCCTCAACCTGAAGCGGGCCTGCAGGCGATGCGCCGTCGCGCAAGAAACCCGTCACTCGTAAATGCGCCCAGTTCAAATGTGCCGTGATCGAACTATGATTTCACACCTTCTGACAGTTGGAGCACGAACACGAAAACAGAATACTGTCGGTGATGTGGCCTTTTAGATGTTTTAGCAAAGCCTCCCTTGTGTGGCACTCCTCTAGGCATGGTGGCAAAGTGCACTGAAAGCTTTCCAAACTCGTCGAAACAAACCAAACTTCCCTTAGGCGTACCAATGCCTATGTCTTCTCAAAATATGACACCTGAGAGCATCATACGTAACAAACTGGCGACAGCATCCTTCGTCCACACACTGAAGAATTCGAGAGCTGAAAACGTGCTCATCGAATTGCACAACCATCAAGCGTGCTTGAACAGAAACTACAAATTCTGCAAGTAAACATCTTTTAGAGTGTTGTATTTATGCCACCATTACACTATCCTTGCCAATCAAGCAGCAGATTGATAGTGAAATACCTGCCTCGAGTATCCAGTTGCCTTCCGCTCCAAATTTTCAGGTGCACAAAAATCCGGGAATGCCACAAACGAACGAGGACAAAAATGGCGCGGAGACGGGTGGGAAGGCGGGAAAATGAACTGAACGTCAGCTTTTTCCACTTCTTTCCGCGTTGTCCCAACCAACGTTCCTTTCTTTTGTTTATGCTTCTAGCTAGTCGCATTGTTGCTCTACTGTTTGCTCTTAGTTCTCTTTTTTTTTTCCTTACGCTCTGCGTTGGCGCGGCTGGCGCGGACAAAGAAAGGAGGTGAAGGGGCGAGAGGAGACTCTCTGGGTTCCCGCAGCTTCCGAAAGGTCAAGCGTGGTGACCAATTAGCGAAGCGCGTCTTTTCTTTCTGTTTTCTTGCTCCATGAAGTTTTGCGTTTCCCTCTCGGTTTTTTTTGCTCGTTTACGGTGCATTTCAGATAATTCCTCTTCACGGCGTACTTGTAGTTTTTATTAGCGTATGGCGCCGTAAATTTGACGGTTACTTTTTACAGTGTATGCTTTCGAAGCTAAGCGCTTGTGAGCCCGAGCATGCTGGGCGACGATAAAAGCTGCGCACAATGCCTGGTTACTACTTCTGATATGTCAAAAAACACCTCGACCGCACGAACACTCGTGTGGGGGAAGCTCCAAAACTAATAGATTGCGTTTGTCCAAAGTGAAGTAGGGTAAGATGGGCCAAATGAGACGCGGGGCGAAATGCGACAGTTGGAGTGAAGGCACCCAACGAAAGTTTTTGTTTAGTGCCAGCTATCACCTAGACACAAGTCTCAAGCTTCACTGAGACGTGCCTTAGCCTGTTCACTTTGGGTGAGCCATAAATGACTGCCTTTGGCAAGTCCTTTCCGGAGAAAAAGAAATGCCGATTTGAGATTGCCGAGTTTACCGCCCGTCAAAGAGGTGCATAATTCCGCGCGAGATATCGCTTCGAGAAGTACGCCCCGGTTGGCACAGACTTTCTACCAAGGTATAATTTAATTTCATTCCTAAGTATTAGCTTCATGCAGACCAAATTTGAGTGTTCAGCGTGCTTTTTTTTACGGAAATAATTATTCACGTAACGGGATACGCGCGAGACAAAACGCGACAATGTGGCATTGTATGACGCGTGTGTCAATAATGTACCAGTTTCCTGGTTGTTCCTGAGTCATATTTTCCTCTCGGTGTCTAGGAGGATCAAAACGTACAAAAGAAAGACAACAGGGGCTTCATGGCGCATAAGTAACACTACGAATGCACTTGAAAGTGACGCAACAGCGTCACTCCCTTCGCGTTGCCGCCACACTTTTTGGCGCACCAAGGGATGTGCTTCAAAAGCGAGCAAAAAGACAAAAAATAAAAAAAGCAATGGCGCCACAAAAAAAAAAAAAATGGCGAGGCGTTTGGGGGGGGCGATCGCCCCCACCGCCCCCCCCTTGGATCCGCCACTGGTCTTTAGTGAGTTCTGACTCAAGCGGTAGGTTCCACGGGAGGCGCCACTGGAATGACCTCGCAGCTGGGCGCCTTGTCGTCAGCGCATTCGCCTTTGCAAAGCCGGACACTCCCGCGCACAAACCCTGGTACGGATAATCCGTTCATGGGAGCACGTTCCCGCTTACAGCTGCAACCACTATTCAAGTTGGTCCTGGCTGCAACTGTATACGAGCGACGATGCTTGTTCACGTAATCCTTCGCGTCCTTCCGACCATCCATGCCTGGGAGACCTCCTCTTTGTTAAAAATGATTCAGGCGAGTCAGAATGTTGTAGTCGCCGGCGAGGATTGCGAGTTACCCTTGGGAGATCCTTTTGTTAGACCCAATTTTTTTTTTTTCAGTAGCGTAGCACTAGCACTACGACGTGACGTGCAGTCGTCCGGATGATCTCATCGTCGTGGCGCGAGACTTGAACCCTTGACGGTCTGGTGCACTCGCCCAGCGTACTCTCAGAACGACGTCTGAATGAAGAGGGGCCAGTCATAACAATCTCAACTTGACGAAGAAAAAAAAAGGAGGAAAGTTTGTTATTAAAGACCCTCTACCCGAAGCAAACCTCACAAGTTTCGTCATGGACTCCTAAGATGCCGACACTCGCTTACCCGACCCCGCACGGCCTGTTTCACAAATTCAACGCTGCCGTTCCATCCAGCCCGTCGGCGGAACGACTATTTAGCTTGGCTGGGGACGTCCTTAGAAGGAAAAGGGGAAAACTCTCCTATCAAGAACTTTGAAAGTCAATTGCTTCTGCGAGCGAGTAAACTATTTTGGCGAAAACGCAAGCCATAAATAGACTGCATTTATTTTAGGCTCGCAGGGTTCTTTATTGATCAAAACTGCTGTTCATTTTGCTACCACAAATATATAAAAAAAGTAACTTCGAAAGTAACTTCAAAGTAACTCGCTACTTTTTACAGTAGTTAGTAGTTTACTCAATTACTATTACGAATGCGTAATTTCTACTCTACTCCAATTACTTTCGGCGCCGATACTCACTAACTTAACTTAACTACCTTTTTTGAGTAATTTGTACATGTCTGGTCTGCGGTCCGAAAAACGCGGCTGTTTATTTAAGACTATCATTCGCGTTTTCTCACCGTTCACCTCGTGTATGTTTCCTGAGTGGTAACTTTAGCAAACCCCCGCGCCTACCATGTGCTTTAAGTTTGTCTAAAATGTACTGATTGAGTGGGTTTCGATGACGGTCACCAAGTTTCTAATTAGAACCACAGGTTCGTTTTCACCGAATGAAAAGGTAATTAAACGATGTTAGTTAATTTTCCCATTCACCGTGACGATTATCCCCTTATATTATTTCCCTCTGGTTGTATAGCTCACTTTCACCGACAAGATTAGTGTAGCGTTTACTGTTTTTTTTAAACAAGTCTGTAAGACCTATAAGAAAAGAAAAAAAAGAACTCCCTGTATATTCTCAAACAAATATTATTAACATCATCTTGATTCGGCTCTATTTGCCCTACCCGTATAAACGCTTACTAAATACACGGACGCTCGGTCTTGTTATGCAACGAAACTCCAGCGGGTAGCTATCCCTGCAGTATTTCCTTCGATCTGGCAGCACTGTAGTAACAAATCCTTTCGAAAATTCTGCCCAACTCGGAGGGTTCTAGGTGAACGAGTTTGACGGACATCTCGAACAGCTTCCGGTTCCGCTCGTCGTTGCGAGCTCTCCAACTGGGCCAGCCTTTCCGGCAGTCTGCCAGGTAGTAGCCGGTCTGTCGGAGCAGCGTTGTGTCAACCGCCGCGTAGATAGACGTCTGTGCTCCTTCTTTGGCTGTCTGAAATGAGCAAGGATCGGAAGTCGGCATGAAAATTCCAAGCAGATGGTTTTCGAGCCCTACAGTTTCAGAAAACCAAAGATATGGGTCCGCACCTTCTCTAAGCACGTCCGGGCGCTTTATTTCGAAGTTTGTCAATTAAAAAGAATAATTAAAGAGACAGGATTTTTTTTTATGCAATAGCTGGTAGTATTTCTTCTCGGTAAAATCTAATAGCGTCCGTGCGCAAAAAAAAAAAAAAAAAAAAAATGGCTTGATCGCTCGGCATTCTGACTCGCCGCCTCATCGCCGCCGCGCTCTCGCTCTCTCCCCATCGCAGTCGCTCTTCGCACAACCACACCACTCGTGGCAAGACTTGCTCTTCGCATTGGTTCGGGAACCACAGGAAACAAACGGTAAGCCCCAGAACGTTAGTGTATCACAATAAAATTTTATAAGACATTCAGATTTGTTTTCTCTCAATGGAAATAAAAGGTGTTATTAGTGTACCGTCCTAATTCTATAAGGATGTTAATATTTAGATCATTTTGAGGGTGAAAAAAATGGTATGACCAGTGTGGAAACAACCAACAATGAGCCGACGATGCGTTAAAGCAAGTAGGCAGGCGAGCTGGGTAAGGATAGACATAGTAAACCTGGAGCCTGGGGACTAAAAGGGACGAAAAGACACGGTCTGTCCGTCTCTTTTTGTCCTCTAGCTCCAGGGTTATTATGTTGACGATCGGTGCTCGACTTTAGAGACGCCGAGGGCCGCAGAAAGTGCATGACACACAGCGGGTCCTTTTACTTACTTTAGTGCATTCAATTTAGCGTATAACTGTTCAAAATAATGTGACCTATTAAACCGCATAGCTAAACAAAGAAATAAACCTGCGTGATTGGTGGATGTAATGGCACGTTTTTGGATGAAGCTGCACAATGCATATGATGACACAATGGATCTGATGGCACGATGGATGTAATGGCGCGATGGATGTAATGACACGCCTTTGGACGAAGTTGCTCGGTGGATGTGATGCCACGGTGGATGTAATGGCATGATAGATGTAACGGCATGATGGATGTAATGGCACGGTGGATGTGCTGTCACTATGGTTGTATGGGCACGACGTATGTAATGGCATTGAATTAGACGTAGTTGCTTGATGGATGTAATGGCACGATGGATGTGTTGGCGCCGACGGCCCTTTCGCTCGTGGTTCGTCAGTTTTCAGAAAAAGCTACAACTTTTTGTTATTCATGTTTCTAAAGTATCAGGCATTGGTACCGTCTTGTCATTTGACGGTACATTTTAGGAGTTTTTTTAGCCTCCTGTCGAACTAAAATACACAAGCACGCCGTTTCTGCTTTATAACAGATTGCCGGAAAAAGTTGCCGCAAGCATGATTTACAGGCAACTGCGAACGTCTTTACTTGAAGGTAACACATACTACACGCTATATAAAGGACTCATTTCTGCAACAGTTACATCTTCCAAAGAGAGAATGGTATAATACCTGTGTCAAAGTCAAGAACAATCATTCAGGGTCGGGACGAGACGTTTGTTGGGTTGTTTGAAAGAAGCTGTAGGAAGCTTTTACCTAAAACTGACTGAAAGAACCACTGATCTCTATTGTAGTAGGCTGGATCGCGGACCGCGGCCTCGGCGGCTGGGGTCGAGTGTCGCCACCGGTGGCCATTGATTGACACCAGCCAATGCATAGGACTCTATTGGAAAAACGAGAAAAAGTGCCATTTTCCCCCGTTTTCAAGCTGTAATCGGCACTGAAACTTTTTGGATGATTTTTAATAAGCCCGTCAAATAGCTTGCGTACAAACATTAAAACTGACAGCCCTCAAAGTTCTTATAAATAAATATTTTGTGGTCGAGAGTGACTCCGCTGTAGTGCAGCTTAATGAGGCGAGTTACCTAGAGTTACTGCGGAGTCGGTGGCGGTTTCGTTGAGTTGGGTTTAGCAGACGACAAGCTTGTAGGCTTTGCTACGCGGAATTCGCTCACTCTCGGAAAGCCGTTGTCGAGATGGAATGTCTTTGTCATTCATCAACGTCTGGGCTTCCCCGAGGATGGTCTCATTGACGGCAAGTTCCTTTGTTTACTCCACTACGAGAGCAAGCTTGCCAGCTCAGCCGTAGTGCTCCGGTACGTTTGATTTTTTTATTCGGCGACCGAACGTTTGACAAATACCGATTCGATCTCCAAACACCCGACATAAAGATCGCAGCGCACCATAAAATACTCGCCACCGAGCACAGCGTACACGCTTCAATATTCTTACTTTTATGCGTTTCTCCCATAGACTTGCGTGTATTGCCTGGTGTCAAGCAATGGCCGCCGGTGGCGACACCAACGGGCTCCCGATCCGCAATTTAGCCAACTAAAATAGAGATCAGTGGAAAGAACACATTGCTAAGGCTAGTATAGGAGCGCGTGAACGTCACGTGCCCTCAGCGTGCCACTCTTCTCACTGCGCTATCCAATGTACCGATTTCACCAAGCGTTCCACGCATGCGTGACGCCGCCATAACTGTAGTTGGTAGGAGGCAGACGCCAGTTCACGCGACAGCTCATGCTGCCTCGTGTCCGCTTGCGCAAACCTCCAGCAGGGTTGTCGCGCGTGCAGAAAGACTACAGCTCCCACGATGCGTGTCGGCAGCGGTGGCGTACTCAAACTAGCTGTGAGATCGGTCTATTGATGCCAATATTTTTCACTGCCTCCTCGGAAAATGGTATTTTCCTTAGCTCTTTTGGGAGATCGGTGACCGAGTGTGTTAGCGCACCGCAGCACGGAGCACCTTGTAGCAAAACCTCGCGATGCAGAACGCAGGGACCCTGGGTTCATACCCCACACCTGCTTGTTTCCACGGAAATGAGTGTCGTGCATGCGTGCGGTCGCGTATCAGTTCTGCCTGATGCACGTTAAATAGGCTAGCAGTGGTACTGCGCTGGCTACATTTCTTATCTATAGCGGAGACTCCAGACTCCCAGTGGGGTTGTCCATAACTTCCCGCTGTTTAAACAGACACACGAGACAATGCTTGTACGTCCGAAGCAAGTTGGCTGTGGTCCGTTTAAGAAATAATCCTATTCAACTTCTTGTTAGCTCAGAAACATCATGTCCAACTTCATTTGAATCTCGTTTGGTGCAAACAAGTCCCGTGGGTAAACACATCCAAAGTTTCTAAAAGGCACATTTACACCACTGAGACATCTTCCAAGGGCTGTTTCAGAAGAATGACTTGGCACAGTCAAAGCCACGTCGGTCAACTTTGCCGAAGCAAAGTCGATATACGATGCCGGTACGAGGTAAGCTGACAAAATTAATTGGTATGAAAACAAAATGTAAAATATAGAGAATTGTGGACTCACAAATTTGGGACGTCATCGAGACTCAATTTAACAAAAGAGCTTAAAGGCTGGTTCGCACATTTTTATGTTTGAGTTGCTCGAACGCGTTGCCTTCCCTTTTAACACTTATTTGTTCAAAACTCTGACTTTTTACAGATGACTGCGTAATTTATAGGCGCACAATTACCAAGCTTCAACTTGCAGCGTGACCTTAATGTTTTAATTACATGGTGCAAGAATTGAGAAATGAGCATTCATATTTCCAAGACAATGAATTTCTGACATTTTCTACGAAGGGAACAACCATTAACTCTGATTACGAAATAAACGGTTTCAATTTCGAAAAAGTAGGCAATCATAAATATATCGGTGCCATACTAGCAGAAAATTTGGATTGGAATCTGCATATATTCATTGTGTCGTTAGCAAAGCATATTGTACCATAAGTTATTTGAGAGAAAAAAAAATATTTCGGACCTTCTGAGGTTCGCTTGTTAGCTCTTAAGTCCCCCAACGTTCGGCGGTAGAATACGCTGACCTAATTCGGAGTTCCCGGCAAGATTACTTGAATAATAAAGTTGAATCTGTCCAAAACCAAGCTGTTCGTTTTGTTTTTAGGGATTATTTTTTTGCGTCTAGTGCGACAGCACTAAAGTCAAAACCTGGCCACGCATCTTTATGCAACAGACGCAAAATATCACGTTTGATTCTTCTTCACCAAGTGTACGACCATAATCAACTTCTTAATAGTCAGCTTTCACTTCCTCCTCACTGATTTTTTTCCAGGCACGTTCACCAGCACAAAATCAGGTTGCCCTCATGTCGAACGAAGCACTCAGAAGGGTTTGGATTTGGGCTAGTTGGTTGAACATGTTTAGGGTTAAAAGCGCTAAAAACGACGGACGAGTAAAAGAGGGGGGGTTTTACGTGCCAAGCCAACGACGGGCATCTGGCGGACGAGTAGGAGAGACACACACCACAAAGCGCTTGATAACACGGTGAACAGTTAAAAGAGGCCCACGTAGAAGAAAGGTATTGCAGAAGGGTTTGGATTTGGGCTAGTTGGTTGAACATGTTTAGGGTTAAAAGCTCTAAAAACGACAGACGAGTAAGAGAGTAGGTGTGTGTCTCTCCTACTCGTCCGTCGTTTTTAGCGCTTTTAACATTAAACATCGCACGAAGCAGTACTCCGAGTCTCCTCTAAACTTGTCTATTAAGGACTGGAAGGACCTACCCGACAGGGTGGTAAACAGTTCTGATTTTAATCAATTGAAAAGTGATTGCGATGAATTATTCAACTTATTTTAACTTTAATCCCTGAAGAGGTATGTAGCCATTGCATTCTTTCTGCTTGATGTTTGTTTAAGACTTTATAAAACCGGTCTCAATTCTTTGTGCTTTGTATTCGAAGTTTTTACAGCGGAGCTGTTAAGGGCTAGTTTCAATAGGATCGTGTCCGCCAGCAAATAAATGTCGACACAACGATGGATGGATGGATGGATGAATCCGGCTGAGCCCTTTGGATCGGGCGGTAGCTTACGCCACCTAGCCAACATTCCGGACAGCTACCGCCATCTATGAGCGATGGTGGCAACCTTTTCAGCCTTTCCACTCTGGCTTGCCCACTTGCGGCCGGCCATTACTTTTTTCCCAGCATAGTACAGCTTCGCTGGTCTTCTTTCACCAGAGTGGAAAGGATGAAAGATTTTTTCCCATATTTTATGCAATGCCCTCGGGCCCTTTGAGGTAATTAAATGAAATGGAACGAAACACAATGGTATACTGGAGCGCCATTTATTTGGAAGGCGCAAAACCCTTACAACGAGCGTATTTATTCTTATAATCTTTTACGAAAATTTTTTCCACCGTGGACTTGAGATCATTCTGAGAGTGTTATAAGCGACCATTTCTTCTAGATGAAGCAAATAGTGCGAAACTTCCAGCTTACATATACGCAGTTCCAGGGCTACCCGCTGAATGGCGCCAGCGTTAGGTAGAAAAGAGCACGCAACGTCTTAGATTACTACAATCAAGCAAGACGGCGGATCACTTCAATTTTTTTATGAAAATACACCGTATCAACGTAAAAGACAACGCAACACACTCTAGCACTTGTCATGTTCGTATCTTCGTCTTGTGCTTCTTTTCTTTTTTGTGTCTTATTTGGTTTTTATGATGTTTATCCAGCTAGCCCAACAGTTAACTTTGATTCACTCAAGCCCAGACAACCAAGGTGTGAATCAACCTTTGGTAGTGCGTACATAAAACTCCCAATGACGCGACGATATTCGGCGTAAAGTACTGGTGTCTGTGATCGGCCAATCCCGAGATTGAAGACGCACAAGCTCAAACAGCAAAACACACATTTGGAAGCCTTGTGCGTTTATCCTATTTATTGTCTCGGTCTCGGGTCTTCGTGATGTTGAGACATCGCCAGCTCAGCTGAGTTTCTGTAACTTTCTGTGGCTATATCAGATTGAGTTTTGTAGGGAGAAGATGTTTGAAAGGAAACAAACCTTTCCGAACAGCCAGTAGCTCAGGCTGAACAAGAGTCCACTCATGCCTGATGCTCGACCGACCATGGCCGTCTTCACGGTGCCGGGATGGACAGCATTTACCTGAATACCTGTCGAGAAGCAATCATAAGGCAATCGTAAAAAGCCCCAGCGGACTAAAGTGCTGTAGGTTATAGACACCTCCCTTTTTGAAAGATTGTAAAACGCAATTAATCGTGTTTCTAACCTGTGTTTTTTTTTTTTTTTGGGGGGGGGTGTTTTTATGAATCAATAGTCCTGCCACTACACACAAAAGCGTCGGCAGAAGTGTGTCTTTTCTCGTCTTAAATGTTCTACCTCAAAAAGTAACGTTCAACCAACCACAAAGAACTGTAATCAGTTTGATGTCTATAACATTCAAAGTATGTTCTATATAATTTTTACAGCGATTTAATTGTAGTACTTTTTAGACATCCGTGGGAGGTACCGTTTGCTGTGGAAAAAGAATAGCGCGAGAGGGAACGGAGAGAAACAAACTTGGGAACCGGATTTTCTTCCCAGCAGAAGACAAATTCGTAGATCGGCCTTTGAGCTGTCGATGACTATAAACATTCTTCACAAGGGCGCCGCCATCTTGAATTGTGGTCACTTCCAGCATGGGGGAAAACACTGTTTTGCCGTCGCCACGCCAATAGAAGGCCCTCAGGATAACGTAACCTTCACACATTCTCGTTTTGCCTCCCCTCTGTTTTTTTTTTTTTTTTCTATTTCAGGGTTGAAACGTTTTATTATTTTTTGTTGTCCATATCAGATACGCCTATTAGGTGGCTGGGGACGAGCGTACACGAAAAAGGTCCATAGATAGACGGCCGTAGAGCTGAATATTTATACGTCACCAACCGACGGCCAGTGCGGGTCATATCTTGTACGCGAGTGCTGCCATCGTTCGGCTGACACTCGCGCCCTGACTGATGGAAGGCGAGTTCCAGCCGACCGCTCACCTAGCACTCACGTCCTACGTCTGCTCCCGCGCTGGCCCTCTGTTGGTGACGCATAAAACTCAATCCTGCGACTTGCTCTGACGTCACGCAGATGCGGTGGCGCTGCCGTCGACGCGGCGCGTATGCGCAGTGCTACCTCGTTGGCACAGTGCCACTTAACGCGAATCCTGCGCGCGCACAGTGCCTGTGGGCCATCGCCGACTTGCTTGTCAATCGTGTGTGTCTTTTTTACTCCGTCCGAAGCCGATGCCACCATCCGATGGAGCAAATGACGCAGCATCAAAAGTGCACCGTCACGGCGCTCATCTCCTTTGTGTGCTCGCTGTCACCTCCGAAACCGATTAGACACGTCGAATGCACCGCGATCCTGCGCTGTTTATAGCGTCAGCTGTTAGTGGGAACCCTGCCGGGGAATTGCATGGTCGTCCTTCGCGAAAACTACCAGTGACGCCATCAGCTACGTCATTTACCGCATGATCACTCCCTGCAATCGCACCTGGGCATCACCTTCTATAGATAACAAATCCGCAGTGCTCAATGAGATGGCGTCATCGAATAAGGCCAACACTGGACAAAGATTGGAAAGTGCTGCGTCAACGCTGCTTCGAGTCAAGTTTAGACCGAATGTTGACGCAATCAGTGTGTTCAGTCTGTGCCCAGCGTTGGCCTTCTCTGATGACGCCATCTCATTCAGCCTTGTTATCTAGAAGGTGTTGACCTGGGCCTCCCCGGCGTCCCAGGTGCACTCGCCGCTGCAGCTGAGTTTATATTGGAAATCCGTCGAGCCGTATCGAACCAGCGACCGATGGATGACAGCTATCGTTTTTCCCGCCTCTACCAGCTGAGCTATCGACGGGACAGAGTTCATTGAACATTCTACCTTCGATAAGGTTTCGGCGTCAAGTGAACATCGGGTGCGCACCCGCGTACAAAGCACGACGAAAAGCAACCACCGCGTGGTGGATCCCGGGCGTACGAAAGAGACGCTGCAGGTGCCGGCGCATGCACATGCACGACCATCCGATGAAACGAACTTCCACGCCATATAGCTATGGACCTCAGGAAGCTCGTAACGGAGGCTGCTGTAGACGGAGTGCGGATCAGACACGGGAGCGGAATCGAAAGTGGAAGCGAAAATGATGTGAATATCTTCAGATTCCTGGTCAGGGAGGTCGCGCAGAAAAAGGCAACGACGCCATAATGATAGCGAATTACGCCAGCCCCGAGCTATGCTGTCGCTGTGACACACGAATACGTGATAGCGTAAAATACAGTCGGATTTCATTTTCCGCGTGATTGGCTTAGCCTGTGACATGGCAAACGCGCAAAGACAATAAGCGCCGTGACGGTACACTTTTGGCGCAAGATTAGCTCCATCGGATTGTAGGCTTGACTGCGGTCGTGTACGTAAAGTGAAGCGCAGTATGCGTAGTGTAGATCAAGCACTATCTCGTCGCACGAATGATGCTGCAAGGCACGGCACCGGTATAGTAATTTCCGTCCATGACCTTGGCTCATTCGTAGGGGCAGACGAGTATAACGGTTCGGATCGAATGGGTAGCGCAAGTTCGTCTGTTTCTTGCGCAGGGGTTGCACTAACGTCAGAACGCCGAGCTCTGACTGAATCTGATGGAAGGATAGTGGACGGACCTCAGTGTTATCTGCCTATATGCCTACCACCATCCTTTCCATCGGAGCCAATCAGAGCTCGGAATTCTGACGTCACCACAACCCCTGCTCAAGAAGCAGAATGAACTTCCGCTCTGCATAGCGCACTACGTCATTCCTATACGAGGGGGAAAGTTCGTCTGCTCCTTGCACAGGGGTTGCGATGATGTGAGAACGCCATGCTCTTATTGGCTGATTGAAGAAAATAGTGGGTAGACCTCAAGGCATCTCGTATGGCAGTCTACCCATTATCCTTTTAATCAAAACCAATAAAGAACTTGAGTCGTTCCGACGTCACCACAGCCCCTGCACAAGAAGCAGACGACTTGCTCTCCGCATAGCCTTCACAGTACCGGGGAAACCGACAGCGCTCTCTTTGCAGTGTTGAAGCTAAGACTGAGGCAGGGGTATTCAGTTCCAAGCGTCATTCGCCAACTCATTCGATTGCGGAGGAGCGACGCGCAATGCACATATGCGCACATGTGCGTTCATCTTCGTTTTAACATAAAATGTGCACGTCTAAGGGGTTGGATTTCCGAATAAAATTGTGACAGAACAAACGCCACGAAAACCTGTCACAATATGTGTGACTCGGATTTTAGTTGAAACAAGAGAGAACACGTAATTTAGAAAAAATAGTGATAACGCAATTAGAAAGAGCAGAATTTACCTTTTTCGAAAATGCGCGCCGTCTATATAGTGAAATACAGCTCAAGAAGGTAGGGCGAGGGAAAGGAAGGCTGGGGAGAACGAAGCAGACGAAACGCTGTAGAGGAGAGAGGAAAATCTCTTCCTCTCTCCAGAGTTCCGTCTGCTTCCTCCTCCTTGGCCTTCCTTTCCCTCGCCCCACCTTCTTGAGTTGCAACGCACCATAGTAGCTGCAGCGCCAATTACCCGGGTTCGCCATTATTTGGGCACGTACTCTGAGCGCCTATTGGACACGAGAGTTGCGTCAAACGGTCCATTGCGAACGACCCCCAGAAACTGAGCCCAACGCCAACTGTGCCAAGTAGATTTTACATCTTCAACCGTGTCACGGGGAATTCTTGAGAAGCAATAGTTACTTTGCTATGTACGCCAATGATGGGAAGCGTGTGACCATATCATGCGGTAGCATTACGTGATTTGATCCTACCGTGAATCCTGAGCCTCCTGGCGAGTTCGAAGGTGGCCATGAGCACGGCCATCTGTGTGTGACTGTACGTAGCCGCCGGACTGGTCCACGGAGTGTTCCCCCGGATCCTGTCTTCCATGCGGTCCGTGGCGCCCACATGGTGCATCAGCGAAGTCAGGTTAACCACGCGACTGGGCGCGTTCTCCTTCAGCAACTCTGAAGAAGAAACACACACAGAGTGAAGGCTGGTTCACACGGTTGCGACTGCTTACGATCGACTGCATCAAAACTGATTGTGCTCTGATCGGGGAGATATATCCTATCCGTGCAACGAAAACTGACACAGCCTGGCGGTCGAAATGAGAAATAGGAAAGGGCATTAAAGCCACGAGGTTATAGTTTCCAATATTGCACATTAACATCCGGAAACGCAAGCCTTTAGTGACGAAAGTTGCTTCCATTGCATGAGCTATTAGCAGAATGACTTGTTTATAGGGTGCCTTGCATTCGGCTCGCCTTGCAAGATTCGATTTCCAAACGAACATACCTAAAATCGGGCAGACGAACGTCACTTCGCGAGAAGTTTTATGTCCATGTTTTAGACCGCAGCTCATAAGCAATAAAACTTTGGTTGGGGCTAGTTGGCACATATCGATTAAGTAATTAAAAGGCGCGAACAAAGCAGGACGAAAAGACACACGTACGACACGGACAGGCGCCTGTCCGTGTTGTACGCGTGCCTTTTTTCGTCCTGTTTTGTTCGCGCCTTGTAACCTTTTAAGCTCTTAGGCGCCCGTTTCCGGGTTTCGCGGCGGTGCCGTCGATGTAACCGCTAAATTTAGCTGGAAAATTGACGTCATGTGACCTCAACACTAATTCGATTCCCCGCTTAATTTAGGGGGAAAAAGACGTCGCATGACTTGGACCAACGTTACTAAAACACTCAGTTGGGAAACTCCCATAGGGACAGCTTTGAAAAAGTGGCCCCAATCTGTCTCCGAGCACCGAGCTAATGACGAACACAACGCCACCATTTCTCCCGCAGCGGCCTCTGGAAGAACTGCACGTGACTTCAATTATGGCTATAAGAACAGATAGAGCGGTAGAGGTTACAGGGGTGCCACCCCCGTCTCCCCGGCGGACGCGCCGCGTTCAACTACAGACGTTAAAATGCACCTAGGTCAGGACGTGCTACCTGAAAGGCCCGCTGAGGCATAGTGTATGAAAACAATATTAATTGTTCCGCAAAGCCTTGCGAACTAAAGATGATAAAAACATCACGCGCCCATCATTTGGTTCTAAACTCTAATAAATTTCATACAAAAAAAGTCTTTTCCGTTTGTTTTTACGCAAAAACAGGCTTTAAAAAAGCTCAAGGTGACCACAGTACAGACAAACGATAAAGAGTGGCGCTGTTGTCGCATTTAGCTCGGTCTCGGTGGACGCCAGCGGCCCAGATTTCGACGGCGAGTTTCCCAACTGAGTGTTTTAGTAACGTTGACTTGGACTCACGTCACCTATGAACAAATTCAGTTTCTCCGCTATATTTAACGGGAAAATTGACGTCACGTCGCCTCAATAGCAATTCAATTCCCCGCTAAACTTAGCGGGAAAGTTGACGTCGCGTGACGTCCACAGTAATTAAATTCCCCGCTAAATTTAGTGGGAAAATTGATGCCATGTGACCTCAACAGCAATTCAGTTTCCCCGCTAAATTTAGCGGGCAGCTGAAAAATTGACGCCACGTGACCTCAACAGCAATTCAAACGCGAGCTAACCGACGTGATTATTCACTGATAAAGTTATGAAAACGTCAGGGATATCCTTCAGTTGCCCCATCTCCAACGCAAGTTTTCTGCCTTCCACAAAGCATCGGGATCTCCTGGAAGGCACCAAGCGTGTGCTGGAGGCAGGATATCCGAAAGAGAGGTTTTGCAGTTCTCATGGCGTCAGTGACTATAGTGATGACGTCAGAGCAGACTTGGGCCTATATTAAATACTACTCAAGATACTGTATTTCAAATACTTTTTACAGCATCTTGGTATCTTGCAAAAACATTTCGTCTAGAGTATTTGTATGCTCATTCCTGATTACTTTTCGTCCTATCTTGTACACTATGTCAAATAAATTTTTCAACCTTGGAAAAAAATTGTCGCCGGAACTATCTACGGAATTAGAAAGCGTCAGACTTGAGAGCAAAGCTATATCGATTTTAAACTTGGAGCTAAGCGAACGAATACAGCACGAAACAAGGCACGACCAAAACGTAGTCTCCAAATGCCAACAAAAGACCAAATGGACAATCCCAAGTGCGTCCGCCTTTATGTACCCTCTTTCGCATTTTTTTTTATCTCATGTTGTTTTTGAATTAAAGATTACGCTTGGAGCTAGCAGTGTGCTAATGGCTTTATTGAGCTGCAGTGATCTAGAATGAGCTTTCCCAAAGCCCCTTGTGTGCCTATTGTGGCTTAACTTCTGCTCCCAAACTCCTTCAAAAGCGTCTCTTTCATCTCCTTCCGAATGCGCACATTGTTCTCAGAATCCTCAAACCCAGTTTCTCGCCAGGTGGGGCCAGTTATTTACAAACTGGTGAATTCTGTTTTTGGAATACTGACCTCGATGCGTCACCAATGGTTTCAGTTGACGCGGAAAGGGGGCAGGGGAATGGTGATTGGAAACGGTTTTGTGGACACTCTCTCGCGTTACTCGTGTTTTCCTGTTGACATTCTTAATATTTTCGTCAGTTTGTATTTACAGGCGCTCCTCCTCGCCCTTGAATGGAGAGACAAAGTACTTGTTGATCAGCGACAGAGGCGGCCGTCTTCGGGCCAATGTTTCTCCTGAGCAAGCACGTCTGTCGCTCACTCGTGCATACTCACCGTCACGTCTGGCTGCCTGAACAACTCTAGTTCGGCTGCTAGAGGTATTCCAAACCGGACTATGTGTCCAGTCCCCCGAATCGCGGTGAGGCATGTTAAGATTGTATTGCGAAATGCGCCATGAGCCAAGCCTGCCACCAAACTAAAGCACGCCCGTTCCAATGCTTCCAACATATGAACCCAAAACTTTTAGACACTTATTCTGTTGCATATCCCTTTATTTCAAAGTAAACTCCGATTACAGCCACGAAGTCGCTTCTTGAACGTCATAAATATCGCAACAAAATCTGATCTCCAGCGAAGTCTTCGCAAGTAGAGCACTTTTTTTGTACTTCTTTATTTTTTTATTACTAACTTCCAACGTACTTCCCAAGTACCTTCGAATGAAATTCAATGACTTATTCAAAGTATTTGTACTCTACTCAAAATAGCTCGTAGCAAAAGTAACTTGAATACTACTCTAAATATATTCTCCAAGTAGGTATTTAGTATCTTCAATACTTTTGTTGAGCATTTGGCACAACACTGCGGGATCGGAGGAATAGAATTCATGCCTTGTTTTCTAGGTGGACTTGGTTGAAATCTCAACGTATTGGGCAGCCGCCGGCGGTGGCGCAACACACTTTGCTCACTCAAGGTCCCTAATGCTCACTCACCCACGAGCAGTAACGTGAGAAGGAAGGGACCCAGGTAGTTGGTCTGGAAGGTCACTTCGTAGCCGTCCTCCGTCAGTTGGAGCTTCTTTCCTTCTGTGGCAAGAGCAGGAACAATTGTCGTGCTATAACGATCCGTTAAGCAGAACGCAGTTACAGATTGGCAATCATGCACGCGATAGTCCGAGCTACTTTTAGGAGAACGGGGAAACAAAGCCTCCCACTGCGCGCAATCATGTAAGAGGCGCTGTGTCGCAGCAGACATTCCAAACGTACAATCGTCCGCTTTCCCATGTGTTTGTGACCAGACTTCCTTGTCGAACGTATACGCTGGGCACCCTTTCCGAACGCGGGATTCAAATGACTTTTTTTTTTTTAGAGCGCAACTCTTAGGAGCCCGTTTCCGACTTGAGTGGCGTCGGCGTCGCCGCCGCCGTCGGCGTAACCGCGCGGTGCATTATGGGTAAATTTTTCCGAAGGGACCCGAGGACTCCCGAAGGAACCCGAGGTCCTTCGGGAGGACCTCGGGTCCCCGTCGGGAGGACATCGGGTTTCTTCGGTAGGACCTCGGGAGGACCTCGGGTTCCTTCGAGAGGACCTCGGGTTCCTTCGAGAGTTGCATGCAGCAGGTTGCATGCAGCCTGTTGCATGCAACTGGCATACAACGATTTGTATGCAACCTGTTGCATGCAACCTGATGACGTCATCGTCATCCGCATCGTCCTCATCACTGATGACGTCATCAGTGACGTCACTGATGACGTTATTGGCATCCGCATCGTCATCGTCATCATCACTGATGGCGTCACTGGCATCCGCATCGTCATCGTCATCATCACTGATGACGTCATCAGTGTTTTTTAGAGCGCAACTCTTAGAAGCCTGTTTCCGACTTGAGCGGCGTCGCCGTCGCCGTCGGCGTAACCGCGCGGTGCATTATGGGCAAATTTTTCCGAAGGGACCCGAGGACTCCCGAAGGAACCCGAGGTCCTTCGGGAGGACCTCGGGTCCCTTCGGGAGGACATCGGGTTTCTTCGGTATTACCTCGGGAGGACCTCGGGTTCCTTCGAGAGGACCTCGGGTTCCTTCGTGAGTTGCATGCAATAGGTTGCATGCAACCTGTTGCATGCAACTGGCATACAACGATTTGTATGCAACCTGTTGCATGCAATCCAGGTTGCATGCAACCTGATGACGTCATCGTCATCCGCATCGTCCTCATCACTGATGACGTCATCAGTGGCGTCACTGATGACGTCATTGGCATCCGCATCGTCCTCATCACTGATGAAGTCATCAGTGACGTCACTGATGACGTCATTGGCATCCGCATCGTCATCGTCATCATCACTGATGGCGTCATTGGCATCCGCATCGTCATCGTCATCATCACTGATGACGTCATCAGTGACGTCACTCATGACGGCATCAAATCGTCATTGTCAAGTTCACGTGACCCCCAGGTCACGTGACCCCTGAGGTCACATGACCTCTTAAAGGGGCGGTGCAACGATTTTATGATTAAAAGAATTTGCATCTCGTCATTTTTACGTTGTTTATCGTGTCTCGGAGGATAGAGAAAACACCTCCTTCATTAAAAATGTCGCGATTCCGCTGCATAATCGCAAAGCAAAAGTCGAGCTTTTCTCCCCACCTGCAGCCCCAAGTGGCAGCCGAAGGAACTACGGCGGAAAGATTACGTGACCTCGCTCGGCTCTAAGCTGCAGCATAGCGCCCGCTAATGTACGCAGAGAGAGGGAGGGGAAGCGTCCTCCGAGATAGCACACGGGAAGCTACACGGCACTCCGAATGACGTCACTGGGAGTGCGACCAGGTGTGACCCTGAAGGCTGGGAGTGAGTTGAGGGGTGCCCGAAATGACAATCTTTATTTTTTTTTTACGCAACAACTAGGACACGCAGGCGAAATCGGTTTTCTGTTCTTTACTTCAGAAGTGTCAGGGGGCAACTTCCACAAATCTTTGACCGAAGTCCGAAAATCGTTGCACCACCCCTTTAAGGTCACGTGACCGCCTGAGGTCACGTGATTCTCCTGATGTCACGTGACCCCCCTCCCCCGAGGTCACGTGACCCCCTGGACGTCACCCGACCTCCCATGAGGTCACGTGACCTCAAGGAGTCACCTATCCCTCAGTACGCTTCCATCCTCCTCCTCAAGAGCTGCGCTCCAACCGGCGTTACAGTGAATTGTAAACGGCTTTCATTTTTTCTTTTGCTTCCAAAGCGGAAATTGTCGAAACACGCGACAATCTTTTGTTCAGTGTCAAATTATTTTTGTCCACAATCATTCGACACCAGACTAAAGCTAAACCCATTTTACGATTCAATGCGACTGGCACTCAGGGTGCCCGGAAGAAAGGTACACAGGCAGCATTTCCAGACGTACAAATTCAAAATTTATGAGTGATCAAATAAGGTGACGTTGTTGCTGTTTGTTCTTTTGCTCTTGTTTTTTTATGTACAGTCTCAGAAATACCTGCATGCGATGGACGCCGCATTAATCAAGAGCAGATATAGAAAGACAGAGAGAGTATAATGTCTTTATATAATATACTTTGCGAGGAGAATATAAATCCTACTTCGCTCATTTGCTTTAAAAATCCAGTGACTTTAATTTGAATTGGCCAGCGAGCCTAAGCGCCAAATACTCCCCTAGTGGCGGTATGGTGCCTGGATCGCGTCTTCGACTGGTGTGTTTAGCGTCCTATCCCGACCATACATCAAAAGTAGTCCCAATGTGGCAACAAATGACGCGAGTGTCATGCTGTTGCCTGTCGCGATCCTGGCGGTTGGCCGTAGAAATGCTGGCGAAAAGCACAAGCGAACGCGAGTGTCGCTGTCGTCACGGCGTCCCTTTAGGCGTCCCAACTTCCGGCTGCTCTAGCTTCCGTGAACTGTCACGGTGGAAAGCGACCTGCAGCAGAACAGGCGTCTGCCACTTGTACCACAACTGTTGGGACGACACCAGGGTCGCAACAGGTGACAGCATGACACTTTCTATGACGTCATCAGGTGGAAATCGAGGGACCACTTTTTTGGCGGCGGTAAACACACCAGTCGGAGACGTGTTCCAGGCACCATAGTGGTGGGGACCTCCCGCTTCCAAGCAATCGCACGCGTGTCGCGCTGTCTATGGGTCCACGCTGTCGCGATATCCCTGCTTCGCGGAGGGAGAGGGCAACAGCCGACACGCCGAGGTACCGAGATCGCCAGGATAGCAGAGGCGGCTGCCTCCGCAGTCTCCAACCCTGGCCACGACGATAGCAAGTACCTCGACGATACACGGTGGTACCCATGGCCCTCCCAATGCAAAGGGGAAAACCCCAAAGATGCGCGTTTAGTCGTTCCGTCTACGCAAAAGCTGTCGGCGCCAAGACCACATTGGATTTTCGCGGAGTAAGATGTATCCACTAGTAAAGTTTTTGTTTATATCATGAAGGGGTTCAGTCGCTTTGGATTTGTACTCTTGAGAAGTGAAGGCCCGTTCACAGTCTTGCGACCGAGTACGACTGAGAGAGACGAGATCTCTTAAAACTTCTTGAATGTTTTTAGAATGAGGGAACAGACTGGCACTGTGGCGCCATCTACGCGGTGACCCTGGAACTGCATTTCACAAGAGCGAAGGTTTTGCGGGATTTCCGAGGTCAAATGTGCGTAATACCCATAGAAAGGCTCGTTTATAGCATTGACAAAAGTTTTTCGAGCCAAGAAAGAAAGGATAATGCGCGAGAAATAAAAAAAATATGCCGGACCGCCAAGTTTACACTGCTTCCAAATAGATGGCGCCAATGTGTTCTCCGGTTTAAGAAGTTTTAAGGAACCCAGGTTTAAGAGGTCGCAAGACTGTGAACGGGCCTTCAGAGATAGGCCCGTTCACACTCTTGCGACCGAGTACGACTGAGAGAGACGAGATCCCTTACAACTTCTTAAATGTTTCTAGAATGAGGGGACACACTGACATTGTGGCGCCATCTATGCGGTGTCCTAGAACTGCATTTCACAAAAGCGAAGGTTTTGCGGGATTTCCGAGGTCAAATGTGCGTAATACCCATAGAAAGGCTCGTTTATAACATTGACAAAAGTTTTTCGAGCCAAAAAAGAAAGGATATTGCGCGAGAAATAAAAAAAATATATGCCGGACCGCCGAGTTTACACTGCTTCCCAATAGATGGCGCCAGTGTGTTCTCTGGTTTAAAGGCCCGTTCACACTCTTGCAACCGACTACGACCGAGAGAGACCAGACCGGTTTTTAAGCCTCTTGCGATCTCTTAGGACCAGCTCCGCTACACCGCATCCGGTCCTAAGAAGTCGCAAGAGGCTTAAAAACCGGTCTCGTCTCTCTCAGTCGTACTCGGTTGCAAGAGTGTGAACGGACCTTAAAGGCCCGTTCACACTCTTGCAACCGAGTACGACCGGGAGAGACCAGACCGGGTTTTAAGCCTCTTGCGATCTCTTAGGACCAGCTCCGCGCTGCTGCGCACCCGGTCCTAAGAAGTCGTAAAAGGATTAAAAACCGGTCTCGTCTCTCTACGTCTTACTCGGTCGCAAGAGTGTGAACGGCGCTTAAGAAGTTTTAAGGAACCCAGGTTTAAGAGGTCGCAAGCAGTCGCAAGAGTATGAACGGGCCTATAGGGTGTTGCGAAGGGGCCCAGGAGACGACCTTGTCCTTCCAAACCGAGCGGCACGGGTGAACACCCTGGAGCATCGTCGCCAGGTGGCTAAGGACAGCTGCGCCCGGAGACAGAGCGAGAGGCGCCCTGGAGTCGCCAACGCACCTTGGTTTGCGGAGACGACGTGACCTTCTCCGAGGGATCATCGGGTTGACCCATGCCAGTGTCATCTAGCCGGCTTTGCCGTCCGGTCCCTCTCCTGTCTACTCCTGCCTGACCTCGTCGCACGGCGACCCGACAGCCTTGGGACGTCCTCGACAAGGGAGGGGGCTTTACCCAATTTCCCCATCTTAGATCGCCCATGGGATTATCCCCTAACACACGGAAGCCAGAACGCGTGCAATTATGGATGTCTTCCGCCTTCCTCGACTTCGATGGCACCATTGTCCGCCGAGATTGACCGGCGACACCGCGGCCAAGGATGTCTGGCCCTTCCGTGTGTGTGTCGCGTGTGGCAGTGCGAGGGAGAGGGAAATGGCGTGCCTGGCCGTTACAAGCAATGAACGATAGAGATTCCCTACTAGAGATGTGGGGAAAAGGGACGTTATAAAAGTAGAAGCCAGCGGCTGCTGCTGTGTGTTCTCTGGTGTTCTTGACAGTGTTCTCAAGTGTTCTTGAGATGATGTAACCCGTTCATATGTATATATAAAGAGTTATATTATTTAAGAAACACCCCTCCTGCTCCCTGGTCCTTCGCGATTGCGGCTTCCTCATGAGTTCCCGCCCTGGCTCGGTTCCCTGCCGTACCCAAGGTGCCCGGACAACCACGCGTTCCCAACAAGGGTCAGGAGGTTAGGGAGGTCTATGATCATAGGCGATATCTATATACATGAGGAGATGGATCCCGAATCCCGATCTCCCTGGTATGCATCAGAAAGTCGTGTATACATGGCCTTTCTGTGCTGTACGGAGGAGCGGACCTCTGACGGATCCACTCTTCCGGGTGCATGGGTGTTTCACTGACCTGGATCTGTGTCCAGGGCTTCTAATATATGACGCTCCAGGCTATTATTTACATTTAATCAGATTAGAAAGTGAAGACAGCGAGCAGTATCATACTCCCGCGATTATCAGCCTTACTGATAAAATATGACCCCTTCTTTTGTCATTGAAACCTCATGAACATATCAGTGCTAAAACAAAAATCAATTATTGACGCACCGAATGCATTGATAAACAGCAAACATGCAGACCGTGATTTCGTTTTTTTTTTCTGTCTTTTTTTTTTTTTTTTTTTGCTTTCAAGTGCAGATATTATTGTTTAGTTTACTAAGGACATGCGACAAATCCGTTTACAATTTTTGTGCGCCTTTTATTTTAGTAAGAACACATGGAAATATCGACATAAGCGATCCTTTTCTTGTTTTTAGTGCGTACCGTTCGCACAAGCTGCGGCCGTAATGACCGACACATTTGAGACGCCTTGCGAAATTCAATTTCCAAACGCATATACCTAAGATAGGGCACGCGAACGTAGTTTCTCAATAAGTTGTATAAGGCTGAGGCAGTAACATACTGTACACGACTTAATTTTCGCGGGCTGAAATTTTCACGAATCGGGTCAAGGCTGAAAATTAGAAATTTTTCGCGGGTTCTAATTTCCGCGAATCGAGTGTAGCTTCCGTAGCGTTCATATCTTGCCCGAATTGTTCGTGGGACGTATTTCTCGCGAATTGTCGGCGATTCGGGAAATTCGCAAAAATTAGGTCCTCGCGAAAATTTAGTCGTTTACAGTATTTAAAATAGAGGAAAAATAGCGGCCGTGCATTTTCTATGCGCTAAACCGTCGTCGTCTGCTCAGTGGGTTGTGAGTTTGATTCCAGGGCAGATGGTCATTGTTTATATCTTTCGTTAATATGGCCATCACCTTGCTCATCGCCAGCCTCTACTTTGCTTCTTCGGCATTTATGCGTTCAGTAAGTCACCCGGGAGCGAGCTCGTAAACCAGCTTGCAGACAACATATAGAGGACAGAAAATTCACAGCCTCCGAATTTGCTTGATTTCTAATATTTCATTACCCCCAATTTGAGCTCTAAAAAAATTAACATAAAACTTCTTGCGAAACTACGTTCGCATGCCCAATTTCAGGTACGTACGTTTGGAGTTCCAATTTTACAAGGCGTACGTCAAATGGGTTGACACTTACGGTCGCACCCTGTATACTCGCAAGTGCAAACGTAAGCTGTAGTTTTGCTTTTCTATATATTTCAGACTACGTCTGTGTATCTATTTCTTCTTGGCCCCATGAGTGCCACTCACGGTACACCATTCCAGCGTTGTTGATGAGCACGTCCAGTCTGGGCTCCGTGAGCAGAATGTCCTTCGCGAACTTCCGCACCGATTTTAACGAGGCCAGGTCCAGGTGCTTGACTACGACTTTCTGCTGAGTACAGTCGAGTATCTCTTCGGCCGCTTCCTTCGCCTTGGTGATGTTCCGACAGGCGATGATGACGCGTGCCTTACGACGGGCCAGTTCCTTGGCCGTCTCCTTGCCTATACCTGTAGAACGAACGTGAGAACTAGATGTCACAAACAAAATCCTAACGTTTTACGCTGACATCGTGACCTAATTGCAGAAGTAAGATTATAAAGTAACTAATCACTACCTCGTTTAAACCTATATACGCAAACTCTAAAATTTGAATTTTAGAGTTTGCGTAGGTTTAAACTTTAAACTTTAGAAAAAACGTAATCGTTTTTTCTAAAGTTAGGCATTCCGCCATTAGACTAAAACTAATTGTATTTCAGTCCAGGACACTAAGCAGCGAAACGTCTTGAATAGTCCTTAAATCCTTCGCTGATGTTTATTAAATGGGATGAAGAACCTGTTCCTTTACAGCAAGTATGTGAATTGGTGAATTGAAATTGAAATTCTCGTGGAAGCGATAAGACGAAATATCATTCCACTCACTTCGTGACATTTTGTGACAAAGAAAAGTGTAAGTCGACAAAGGTCATATGCTTCGCCGAGTCTGCGAATTTCGCCTGATGAGTCACGTACTACCTTTCTTTGCGAGGTTGTAAGCTTGCTGCTGCATGCGGAGGGACGTACTAGAGAAGCGTACGGCTCCGTGCACGAATTACCTCTCAATTTTTCCATTAAATTTTCCCTGAGACCACAAAAATCACAGTTCTTGGAAAAATTGTTTGTATCAACATTTTGTTTGAATTGCAATTGCACTCAAGCGCGTTCCTTTACTTTCCCGTAAAAGCCCGTTCACACACTTGCGTTTGCTTACGACCGAGTTCTTGTGATCTCTTATGATATCTTATGTGAGAGAACATACTGGCACGCTGGTGCCATCTGTTAACACAGAGGTGCCACCCGTTCGGTGGCCCTGGAACTGCGGTTCACTAGAGCAAAGATTCTGCAGTATATTTGCGAGATAAAATGTCCGTACCATCTAAGAGAAATGGTGGTTTGTAACACTGTAAAAGTTTTCCAAGCAAAAAAAAATGATGCGAAAAAAAATATACCGGAATCGCAAGTGCCTCACGCCAGTGTGTTCCGCGTCGTAAGAGCTCACAAGAACTCGGTCGTAAGCAAACGCAAAATCGTGCGAACCAGCTCTTACGTCTCTTAAAGCTTCCTTCAGATAACCAAAACTCTGACTCTTAAGTTTTTGTTTGTGTGTTTTTTTTTCGTAATATCAAACATTGAGTTATTGCAATGAAGCCCACCGCCCACTCCTCCGCAAAACAGTCGGAGTGATCATGCCGCTCTTCGCAAGCAAATGACGGGTCAGATATTTATAATCACAAACAACTTTAAAAAGACACTGAAAGGAAAAAAAAATTATCGTCCGAAACGATTTAAAACGATGCTTGGACGTTATCTTCAAAATTCGAAGCTTGGGAACAGTATTTGTGAAGTAAAAGCAAAAAAACAAAACAATTTTTAATAGCTGAATTTAAAGTTCCCGCGCAACCCCCGCCAATGCAGTGACGTCAAAGATTGAGTCGGGTTTCTCTCCCACCTTCGAGCCGTCCCGACCGGAAGTGTCGAGTTCTCCCGCGTCCGGCGATCAATCGCCCCTAGAGTAACTCTATATGCTACGCTTGCGTAGCATAGCATATATGCTATGCAAGCATATCTAACTGTATACAGTTATGCTACGCTTGCGTAGCGTAGCATATACAGTTACTCTAAATCGCGCCTTTCCGCGCGTGCCGCCTACCACTGTGAGCAGACGACGCTTCATTCTCGAGTTTGAAATTCTTTTACGGCCCTTACATCGATCTCTTTTTTTTTTTTTTTTTTTTAACGGTGCGAGGTTGAAGAGGACGCGCAGTGGATTTTTGTGAGCGACGTCGCGCCAATGCTGCGTGAAATGCTGCCCCGGAGGAGTCACAACCGAAACTACTACGGTGCACGGACACCAAACCCAGCTGTTTCGACCGTTTTACAAATTCCTTTTCAAAGTCTGGGAGGTCGCCGGGCACCGGGAACTTTGTCCGATTCGCCGACTCTCCGAGCACTCGCAATGCCACATGTCCCGAGCGCTGTCATGTTTTCCGAGGTAGGATAAAAAGCCAGGAGACGACATCCCCTTCCGGATTCCGATATATCAAAAGACGCAATTGTGAACGCATTACGAACGCGTAAGGCGTTCGCAAATGCGTAAAAAAAAAAACATGTTTTACGAATGGTGTTATTAAATATTATATAAATGTATCTTTCAAAGCTTTTAAATTTCATATCCGATATTAGGTCACAAAAAAAGCAATGAGGAAGAGAAAATCGTTAAAAATAAAAAGCGCGCTTTCTTGCGTTGTGTTCTTTTTTTCTTTTTTTTTACGTGTCTATGATTATAGGTTAAATCATTTTAGTCAACAACAAAAAAATTACGACCTTTGGGGTGTCAGTGCTCCTCCTTTAAAGGGGTACTCCGGCGATTTTATGAGCAACCCCACCTAACTGTATTTTCGAAATCGCCATCTTCCCCTCTTTCCGATATGCTATTTAGCATCGCGAAATTCAAGATAGTTATTGTGAAATCTCCAAATGAAAATGACGCCAAAACCAAGATTCAAATATACTCGCGCTTCTCATTGGCGTGACGTCACGGGATGTCACGGGATGACGTCATCCCGTGACGTCATCCCGTCACGCCCGTGACGTCACGGGATGACGTCACGGGCGTGACGTCACGGAGAACACTGGGAATGCGGCTGTAATCACGCTCGGTGTCCAAATGTCCCGCGCATACACAAATGACTTTAGACTCGGCGTCCCTCAAACTGATGAGCCTGCACCAAGTGCTTCGACGTGGTTCGTCGAATGGCAAGCGGTGAAACTGCAACTGTTTGTTTTTAACCACCGGACTGCAGAAGCTGTAATTCGGGCACTTCGGTGCACTGCTGCCTTTCGGCATAGCGACCGAGCGATCGATCACCAACGATGTAAACACTACTCGAGCAGCCACAAAACGAAAGTCTGCTCTGCGAACGCAACAGCGCCGGCTTTCCTGCACGGCCTGGATGCTTTGCTCGTCATGTGACTGAATTCGGCAAATAGCGGCGCCGCGCATGGAAAAAAGAAAAAGCGGAGAACTGCAGACTAACCTAGAACGCCATATACAAACCGACGCCATTTTTCTCGACTTTTCGAAGGCATTTGACCATGTTCCCCATCAACGTGTGCTTTCTAAACTATCATCCCTCAACTTAGATCCCCCTGCATATTCATGGATTAACAGCTTTCTCGCGTCTCGTATTCAATACACGGTTGTTAACGAGCATGAATCAAAGCTAACAAACCTCACTTCAGGTGTACCTCAGGGTTCCGTCCTTGGCCCGCTGCTTTTTCTTATTTTTATTAACGACCTCCCACATGACATCTCCTGCAAAATACGACTTTTCGCCGATGACTGCGTCATCTATAACACCGTCTCAACAGACACTGATAATCTTTTGCTTCAAAATGATCTCATAAAAATTAACGACTGATGCGGAAAATGGCTCATGTCGCTTAACAAATCTAAGTGTAAGCTAATCCATTTTACCCGCAAGAAAACTCATTTACCCTTTCATTATACCCTAGACAAAGACGTGATCGAATCAATTTCAATGTATAAATATCTTGGCCTTAGACTAACGCCTGACCTCTCATGGAAACCTCATATCAAAGCCATTTCTGCAGAGGCTTCCCAGACCCTCGGATTCATGAGACGTAATCTGCGAGACGCCCCTCCCCAAGTCCGAAAGTTGGCATATGAAAGTTATGTAAGGCCAAAATTAGAATATACATCTGCAATCTGGAGTCCTCATCAAGTCTATCTAATCAATCACCTGGAGTCAGTACAAAACCGAGCCGCCCGATTTATCTTATCATCGTATGACCACTTCACTAGTGTCTCTTCTCTAAAAAGTCAACTCGGGCATATACCCTTACTCATTCGAAGGAAACTCTCCCGTTTATGCCTTCTTCATAAAATTTATTATCATTGCCCAGAACTAAAGAACGCCCTGCTCTCACCCCCCGATAAAATATTCTTCCGCCTAAACAACTCTTGTGCAATAAAACGTATTTCGATCTGCTAAAATTAACTCATTCAACGAATCATTCCTCCCATATACCATCACACAGTAGAACCAGTTGCCATCCTCCATCGTCAGCAGCTATGATGGAACAGTGTTTTACGATAATTTACTAGCCCATTATGTATAATTTCTCATGTTCTTGTTTATAGTTACTGTTATTGTTCTACTACTGCGTCTGCTATCGTATTCTTCGTTTTACTGCCCCCCCCCCCCCTTATGTAATGCCCTAACCGGGCCCTTAAGGTGAAAGTAAATGAAATAAATGAAAGGTGGCGAAAGCAGGGGAACATACGCCGAGGCGCGTGAAACGACCCGGCGTAGAGGCGGCTTTCCTGCACGTTAGTGGACGCTTTGTTCCTCACGTGATGGATCTCAGCGAATAGCGGTGTGGCGGTGCGGGGAAAACAAATGCGCAACTCTGCTCCCCCTTCAGAGCCAGAGTTGCGCGTTCATCCCCGTAGCGCCGTCTTTCGTGTATGGCGTGTTTATCCAGCTCCTCACATGACTGAATTCGGCGAATAGCAGCGCCGCGCGTTCGAGGCTCGCGGCGCGCTCCTGGCTTCCGTCGGTAATTTTCGTCACATCTCAAATTATGCTACAAAATGTGGATCTGAATATTATTTAACAAAACCTTTAGGAAACATTCGCCGGCTATTTATTGTTTATGATCGCGGTGCTAGTGAGGTAGGCGCTCACCCAATAGGCGACGTGGATTTGGCTGACGTGTTGCGGTTCCGCGGAAGCATCGCAGTGAAAAGGCAGAGAGTTTTTGAAGGAAAGAAAATGTAAAAAAATCCGGTTTAAAAAAAAAAAAAAAATTTTTTTTTTTTACTAGTATTTTTTGGGGGGTGGGTTTCTTTTCACACATTTTACGACGTGCGAGGGATGAAATATGATTTCAAAATCGTTTCATGGTACCTTTACGCGTCTACCTTTTTTGCGGTTTCCCCGTCTCTTGTGATTCGGGCAACCCGTTTCGCGCGCTTTCGGCACCGCGGGTCGCCCCCGTCGGTGGAGGAGGTTTCTGCGTCGTCCGGTGAAAATCTGACGCCACTGATATCTAGTTATTCTCTCCGTGCCCGCTGGCTTGCCCGAACCCAAAAAAACGTAAAAAACGCAAAAAAAAAAAAAAAAAAAAGTTAGACGTTTAAATACGATTGCAGGGCCCGCAGATTCATCAGGTGTGCAGCAAAGGGCGTGTGTCTAGCACGATGTGTGGGCAGCGTGACTGCGGCTTTGGAGCTTCTTATCGTGAAGAAAGGTTACCTGAGCTTCCTCCGGTGACGATGACCGTCTTGCCTTCCATCAGTTGCGTGGACCTGCAGACGCCCTTTCCGCTGTGAAGGAGCATGTCGAGGGCCTGCACCAGAAACAGGCGCACGCTGTCGAAGAGCAGAAGGAGCGTAAATATCGTTGACATCGCCCCAAAAGTGATCCAGAGTACCGTGGAGATGGTTCCGCTGTACGTCGACTGTGGCATCGGGGTGAAGTGCACTTCCTCCATATTCAAGTTAAATGTTTTGGTTGTCCCTTTCCTTTTTTTGTCTTGTTTTAAGCGAAGCCCCTATTGAGACCGGGCGACGAAGCTCGGTCGGTCACCTAAAAGAAGCAGGAAACAAGGAAAGAAAGGTCACCTCGCGTAACAAATGATGAACGAAACATCGTAATAAAACTCGAGACTCAGGAACACAGAAGTGGACGAACACAACATGGCGTTTCGGATATATCTAACGCTTTATTACGGTTTCGGGAGGTCGGGGAGTACTGTGAGCGAAAAACTGTGTTCTTGCATTATGAGCAACGTCATAGATGAGCCAAATCTCTGCTTAGACCATGGACGTACCAACCGGGGGGGGGGGGGGGGGGGGGGGGGGAGCACTCGCCCCTCCTCTCCAGTTCTCAGACGGGGGGGCAAGGCGTGTGTTTTGCCCCCCCCCCCCCCCTGAAACAGCCGCCGCTGGGCAGGGCAAACACTGGCCGGCGGCGCCCAAGGGACACCAAGGGCACCGCCCCCCGGCCCTGGAAGGGGGGGGGGGGGTGTCTGGTTTGCCCCTCCCCACTCAAAAACAAGTTCGTACACCACTGACTTAAACTAAACTTATCTGCAGTTGTGTCAAGTACAGTAGGATGAAAGATACATTTCCAGAAATTAACTCTTTTTTTTTTTTCGTTGTTTCAACTGTGTCCCATATCACTGTCACGTTCTCACGCTTGCATGGGGTGCCCTGTTCCGGAAGCAAAGAAAGTTTCTGAGGCAAATGTTTATGCGCAACACGAATTCAGTCTGAATGAGGTCTTGACTCGGACTAAGATGACTGATTTCTTTTTTTTCTGCCAGTTCTTTTTTACGTTTTTAACGGGTTTAAATTTCAAAGATCCGTTCTAAAAATTGATAGTATTGGTGATTTGGGCATCATTATAAGATTTTGAGACCTGCTCTTCCGCTTGCGATATCCCGAATACCAACATTTCTGGGTAATTCCGCTATTGTATTTCTGTAGATATGTAGCACGTATAAGGCTGGCATGGAACAGGAGAATACTGAATTCGTTGATTTATTTGCTTTCAAGGCACAAAGTATATTAGTGGTACAAAGTAGATTGAGGTTGGTACTTTACCTGGGCCGCATCTTTATCTGTCTAACAGGATATAGTTATGTCACATAGCTGGGAAAAGCGGCGCGGTCCCGAATAAACAATAACAAAGTTGACGTGCGTGTTTAGACAGCATATATGTATGTGTCTTTGAGATATGGCGACACTGGTTTACGCTGCAGATGAAAAATTTAGCCAGGGCAGTAGGACTGCTAGCCTAGAGTCTGTTACGTGCACCACGCAGTAGTGATACACGACCGCACGCCGGTACGATGTTCATCCAGATCGAAACGGACAGGGGTGGGCATTAAGCCTAGGATCCCTGGGTTCTGAAGCACGAGCTTTTGCCCCACGCGTGCTCCGAGCTGCGCTGCGTTAACACATTTCGTCAACAGTTTCCTCTACGATCCCGAGTTCCACTCTAACAATTTCACTGTTTCTGTTAGCATAATAATTGTCGTCCTGACACCGTAAATGTACTCAACACCCACAAGGCTGTTGTCGTCCCTGACAAGAAGCTCACTTACCAAAGATCCGACCGGAACGTAACTCGCAACAATGAAAAATGTTACCCTCGAAGGACGCCGCTTTTGCTTTCTCTTCCCTTCTGACAGCCAACAATGACTTCGCGTAAACCTTCCCTCCGGTGTAACCTCCTTTCCTTGACATAAAAAGAAATCCAGCCCTCGTCTGGCGAATGTGGACGAGCAAGAAGCTCCATTAACCTTGACAACGCCATCAACGAACCTTTGCTTGCGCAGCGCTAGCCCTCCGGATCTCGTCGATGATTTGGCTAGCAAGTTCCAGCATTCATAACAACACGAGGAAGAGAGCGTTATGGCGACGTCCCCTTGTCGACAATATCAGCAAATGAACCCGAAACTCTCCCTCAAACACGGGGAGAGGATGGGACATTAGTAATCCGACCACGGAAGTCTCCAAGCCTAAACGTCGACGACGACCACGTCACGTTGAGACCAATAAATCCGCTACGCCTAGAGTATCGGCGCTTCGTTCCTCGATCTGCTAGTCGGCGCCGCCATCTTGGTACTTAGCGCAGAGCAGTGACTGTTGATAGTCACAATTCGGAACTACGATTTCCTCAGCTTTAGATGCGGTGTTAGAAAACTCACGATTTGCTCTGTCGCGAACTGTTCCAACACACCTGGAAAACAGAAAAGCGTTTCCTGCGATTTCAGACAAAGTTTCACATAACTGCCCATTATGATTTTAAAGCACCAAGATGGCTGGAGTGTAGTTATTCTAAAGCGTAGCTTATTTGGTAGCTCTAGCAGACGCTTCGTCGCAGCCCTTCATGGTCGCCGCAATAACCGACCTTCCATTTTTGTTTTTTGCTTCACTTCACCCCCTTCCTTTAAGTTTACCAGTGTTCCTTTACGTTTTTTTTTCATTTCTTTCTGTTGTTCGCCAAAACCTTTCAGTACATCGTTGTGGTTCCGACATATGCAGAAGCGAATGTTCCGTGCCATCATGGGTGGAACCATTCCGCTCTGTGGAGGTGGATGACCAGCGAAGCTGTTTAGCAGACGACACAGACCCACCCCGAGGAGCCGGAGGAAACTAAACAAGCGCGACGGGACCGCCACCTGTCGGAAAGTAAACACGCGCGATGGCACCACCATCCCGGGAGAGCGGAAGGGAACTAAGCACGCAAGCGCCATGCAACGACAACAAAGAGAGGGTGGTGCAAGCGTAGACATGGCCGGCGCGGGTCGCACTGTGGCGAATCTTTGAGAAACCTTTATTACCTACCTGAGAGTCTAGTCATCTTGAAATTAGTGCCTACTGTTCTACTGAATAGACCTAAAGCCACTAAATGAGCTGCGCTTAGAGTATCGGCACTCTGTTCCCCGACATTGTTGTGGACGCCGCCATTTTGGTGCTTCTGCGGAGCAGACGCAACTGCCGATCGTCACGATTCAAATGTGTGACTTCCTCGGCATTAGAAAGCTTATGTAATATTGCTTTTCTCTTTCGCGAGCTGTTTAAACATCTGTGGAGGACGGAAAAGCATTCCCCGTGATTTCAGATAAACCTTCAGATAACTGGCAACCATGGTTTTAAGCCACAATATGGGCAAGCGTCGTTACTCTGAAGCTTAGCCTATTTAGTGGCACTAAATAGACGTAATGCTAAATTACCCAAGCATCAAGTAGAATGCAGGGAATGGTGTTTCACGCGCCGCACGTGCCGACGTCTGCAGCAGCATGACCTCCTCTACACTGAAGAAGCCTGGCAGATCGCCACGAGAAGCGGCCGCCGAAATCGAAAAGATAGAAAGGCAGACAATGGATGAGAGGAAAGCCACGTGACGGGCGCCCCGCTGCGGCGAGACGCCGAAACACACTTCTCCCGAGCGATGGAATGTCCGCTCGTGCTCCTCGCGTTCCTCGCGCTATACCGCTTCTTTCATCGTCGGATTTGTAAACCATGTTTCGAGTCCTCGCCGCTGCAAAAGCTGTCCGCTGCAGCATCCAGGTTCCTTTCCCCGAGAAATGCTCTGTGCCACCAGATCCTCGCGCTCCAAATACCTTTGTCCGGAAGTGCTCTTTTTAGCCTCGACCGCAAGGAGCAAAAGCGAACAATAATCTCGAACCCAGACGCTCACGGGGAGGGGGGGCTGCGTCGGCCTGCGCCCCCGCTCCCCGTTGAGGGCTTCTTCGCTGGTGTGCCGACTGCCGTTTCGCCGGCATCGGTCCTGTTTACCGCGGTATGTGAGTATAGTGCCCGTAATGTGAGAGCCGTGTGTCCATACGCCACTTTGCCGTTGTTGGTTTCCATCTAGCCGAGCCAGAAAACATCTCGCGACGAGTTGACCGCGCCGGGAGTGACGAAGAAGAAGCAAACATGGCGACGGTTTGTGCGATTGCTTTGGTGGCTCCGGTGTTGAGTGTCTTCAACGTCCTCGTGAGAAGGTTCCCCTGCCCTTCGAAGTTATTGCAAGCACCACGAAAGATGTGGAATCATCGTTTCAACTACAAATAAGCAGGCCTTCACGAGCAACAACGGTGCCGAGCAGGCGCTCGGCACAGTTGTGTCAGGCTCACGCAGCCAGCGGCACAGTTGTGTTGGTTTTGTCGTCAGATGTTCAACAACGCCGGGGTATTTTCATTTATCATTTGGAATGGCTTCAAGAGTGGGAAATTAATCTATTTCGCGGATTGTTAACGCCGAGGCGAGTGCCCTCCGTTGCAGTGCCGTCGTCGCGCCAAGTGCAGAGAAAACCGGGTGGCGATGGCGGCGGTGCTCTTTGATCTTGCGCCGTCGGGTTCATGAAGTCCGGAGTAAACGTACGTACGTGCGACTGCTGGATCGGTGTTTTGGACTTCCTCAAAACTCTTTCTCACGCGCACTTTCCTCGTGAAGCTTAGTAGCTCATTACACCTCATCGTCGACTGCGCTCATTTGACTACGACGGACGAGCCTGCCTGATGTGAATTTCACTGCCTAAGATCCTTGGTGTGCTGTAACGAGGGCTAATAAAATATCGGTGCGAACTTCTGAACAAACGAGTCGAAGTTTCGTCTGCTATCATAACTGATCGCCTGTCACAATATTAATCAGTAGCGCTCCTAGACTCCGCCCCCACAGGCACCGTGCTTCGTTGCCCGATAGTAAGTGTCTCCTGGTAACTCGTAGAATTCCAGCTCCCACTTCAAGTAAGTACCATCCTTTAGAACTGGCAATTAATAGTTTCGAACCCAGACGCTCGCAGTGTGTGGGGGGGGACGCGTGCTAACATACTCGGAGCCCTCGTTTACGCCGCTTCGCAGCGGCAGACAAGGCGCCACATTACCAAAGAAAGCTAATCCGAGCTGTCTATGTAACTAAACCCCTTCGCTAGTCATTCGATGAAACGTCGTGGTCTTGTTTTCATTCGCTAAGACGG